CCTTCTTTTGAAAAGTTTCTGTTCATGTCCTTTGCCCACTTTTTGATAGGGTCATTTGATTTTTTCTTGTTGATTTTTCCGAGTTCTAAGTAGATTCTGGTTATCAGCCCTCTGTCGGATTTGTAGAGCTCGGCTCCGTTTTGCTCTCTCCTGTCCTCTTGCCTTCCACCATGTGATGATGTAGCAAGAAGGCTCTTACCAGTTGCTGGCACCTTGATCTTGGACTTCCCAGCCTCCAGAACTATGAGAAATCAATTCCTGTTGTTTATAAATTACTCAGTCTAAGACATTTCTGTTACAGCAGCACAAAGCAGGCTAAGACACACTGCTTTACATTTCCCAGACAATTCTAATTCAGACTCTTGCTGAACTTTCACAGAACCTTGTGCAAACTCTCATCCCCTACATTGCTGTACCTGAATATTTTGTTTAGGTGTCAGTTTTCTCCCACATCCATAAACTGTTTCTATCTTGGCTACCTCATATGGTATCATATTAAAAATATTTGATGAATGACATATCCATCAAAATCCTGACTTTACAAAGAGTATTCCTAAGGACCACTCCAATTCCCAAATGACTAAGGTGATTTACAGAATCCCATTCTCTACACGGGTGAATTACTGTTACACATTTCTATATTCTATTTCTAACCAAGACTTCTTATGTCTCCAATCATTATCCCTTTTAGAGTAAAGCATGTGTAAACCACATTTAGCATTTCTATTTTATATCCAGGTAACAGTCTATATCGAAAAGATCTTAATAATCATCCTCTGAAAAAAATGCCTCAAGGAAATTTGACCGTACGTATTGCCTCTTAGTGTGATTTCATATTGTTCATGGCCAGTTTTATAACTTATTAAAATAGTTTATAATCTAAGTTTCAAGGCTTCTCTCAGAAAGTTTTGAGCCCATTTCCTTAGCAGAGTTATAAACGAGAGTTTAAAAGGCAATGAAAAGCGTGTAAACTATTGAATAGCTTCTTGGTGCTGCCATGCTTAATGCACCTGCCAGCCTTGGGCGACGTCTGTGGGCCTGGCTTTGCTTGTTGCAGAGGCTAAAGTAGCCTGGTGTCTTTCATTGACAGACTCCAGATAGACCAATACCTGCAGACTGCTTCAAAACAGGAAGTTTTCACATGGTCAAATTGAGAGAGTGGGAATTAGTAGTACTGAACAATGCAAGTCACAGAGAAAGTAGCAATGAGAAATTCTATAAACAGAGAGCCACTTAGTTTCTGACTGCCAGACATTATCAGGAATATGAACTGTACTGGACAACATTTGGAGTGGATGGCTAGAAGCCCCAGTGGACCCCTATCCTCTACATTCTTCTTTTATTTGCTCATATATTCCACTAGATAATCATCAGTTAAAATGAAAGCATAGTAAAGTATATAAAACTTCATGCAGTTTTAATCTTGAAAAACATACCTAAGCTTTCCAGGCCTCAGTTATAAAAATAATAGTAATAATAAAAATAGTAATAACAACTAACATTTATTGAGGATTCATTCTGTCTCAGGTACTATTCTAAGTGCTTGACATATATTACTTCCTTTTCTAAAATACTTTCCTTACACAGTTTGTTGTTAGAATTAAGAGAAATGACCCAGGTAAAGTTCTTAGCTCAGAGTCTTGCCAAAAAGCTTCCAAAAAGTTAACTATTTTGTTATTGTTTTAACTGACAACAATAACAACAGCAATAAATGGCCCCTGTTCCAAATAAAACTCTAAGAGCCTTTTTAAAACTTTTGGTCCTTAGATGAAGTCCCAAGGCTTTGTAACATCCCAGAATTACCCACAGCCTAGCTCAGTGCCTGACACAGATTAAATGGTCAACAAATACTTATAAAAATAACTAAAAATCCTAAATTATATGGATATGTTTGTAAGTAGATTTTGCAGAGAAGAGAGTTTGTGGTTTTCTTCAGATTCTCAAAATATTTCATGGTCTAAGAAAATAATGAGCCACTACTTTAAAAGAGAATCTGTCACTGGGTAAGTAACGAAGTCTAATGAGAACGACAAGAAAGCAGGGAGGAAAAATCTGAGTGGGGCTGGCTTCCCACCATAAGAGGGTTTGGAAAGGCCTGCAATGCTAGCCTACAGGGTGGCAGTCCAAGACTGTTGCCTCTCCCCACCTGGAAATTCCCATTTGCCCTCTGAGGCCATTTACATAAGACTTTGTGGGATTACTGGCCCTACATCTAACCTTGAATGGAATGATTTAATGCCAGATAATTTTGTTCTGGTTTTGTAGGAATCATAGAATGTTTAGCCCTGGAAAGAACCTCATACATCATCTATTTCAGGGTTTTCAAATTTATAGCAGATGTGTTGCCATTCCCCTTACTGCACCCATGGAAGACATCTTTAATTAGGGACAGCACTCTACTTCTGTAGCTTTTGAATCTTTCTTAACATAATATCATATGCAGCTATTACCAATTGATTGAAATTAGAATGCACACAAAAATAGTTTTCTATCACTATTACATGTCCAATATCCTCCTATTTCAGTTGGGAAGATCAAGGAGAAGACATTTGATATGTCTCCGGGTTAGACCTGACCACTGTGAAGTGAGCAATAAGAGACTTTTGAGGCACAAAGGGTTGTGACTTCAAACTACAGACATTTAAGCACCAAATATCATCTTCTATGCCTTTGCTGTTATTTTCCTCATATTTTTAGAATAAAGAAAGAAACTCCTTTAAATGACCTTCATCCCACTTATAAGTCTAGAAGGAAGCTAAAGAAATTATGAATGATTTTAAGTACTGTTCCATACACTGTTCTTTTTTTATTTTAAACAAAAAGGTAGTTAAGCAAAGGTTCAGGCCTCAGGGCCCCTCTCTCCCGTCTCTTGGTATCCTTGGAAAAGAGTAGTTTGGGGAAAGTACTGCCTTGAATTCAAAAGACCTGAGGCTGTTACAACTAGCTGAGGATGTCACTCAGCTGCTTTGGGCCTCACTTACCCCTACTGTTATAGGAGAACATTGGACATTTCATAGGAATGTTTCTCTCACTTGCTCTCTCTTGTATGGGAGAGAAAAAGTGGATTTTTGTTGAACGGAATGTGAAGATTTATTTATTTGCCTTTGTGTGTGTGTGTGTGTGTGTGTGTGTGTGTGCATATATGTGAATGGAAAGCAAATTTAAGGTAAGAGTGAAGATTGACTAGGGAAAGGCATGAATTAAAGTGCATTTCCAACTTTTTAAGCCATTAATTAAATAATGTAGATCTGGCTTCAAAATTATTAAGCATCATTGTAGTTCTCATAACTTAGAATAGAGTGCTTTCTCTGCATGATGAGGGCATATCAGGTATGAGCTTTGTCATAAACTTGTCCAGTTGAGTCTGTGGAGAAAAACTAGAGAAAATTGGAGTTTTTAAGCACACCAGTAGAGATCAAATTTAAAGTTATGCTATGGGCTAGATTTTTCTTTCCTTGTGAGGATGGCAAGGGTGGCTGGGAGAGGAGCATTGCCAAATATGTAGCTATCTTTCTGCCTTCTTTATCATATACTCTAAGAAACTGGCTTAAATCCCGTCCTTCTCTCTGGCATTGGTCCCTTTTTGAAATATGAAAATTACAGAGGTAAATTAGAAAATAAGCCAGTATTATACGAAAACATATTTATTGGCTGAATAATAAAACTTAGCTAAGGAGTTATTAGAATTAGAATCCTCCCTACTTGAAGTACAAGTTTCCAATAAGCAAACAGAAGCAAAACCCCCAAATGAGAAAGAATACATCGGTAACCTAAATCATGGGTATTTGGGGGTATGTTTAAGCAATCTATCTACTTCTCTGTAATTTACTGGAGCACTGATGACAAAGCATAGACATACAATGAGAGGCGTAGTGAATCAGCACATCCACGTGAGTGTTCAACCACTGCAAAGCTTGGACTTCTTAAACGTGGCCACTTTAACTTACACACACGCACAGAGGCACTTTGGAAATCTCCTTGCAAAGGATGATTTGCATATAGTTTCTTGACAATACTCTTACAAAAAAAATGAAAACAAAAACAACTCTCTGACCACGGTTAATAAATAAGAGAGAAAAGGAGAAGAAACAAGCTACTGCCATGAGCCGGCAGGCACGCGGAGCAGCACCTTGGACCTCATTTGAAAAACAGGCAACTCTGACAGCTTTCAGAGCCCAAGAGAGAAGGCTGGAGGCCGAAGGGAGCTATGCATTATAATCTTTGGCTATTTCCACATAATCTCCAGGATGGAGAAGTTTAATCAGTCCCTGCCACATAAACTGTGTTCTTTTACATGTGGCTGAAACAAGTATCTCTGCAGAGTTATAAAACACTCTAGGAATGGCATTGCTTTAAATTGTTCTTTCCAGGTGATATATCCATAACGATCACATAAATAATGTACAAAAACAAAACCAAAAAACAATATTACTCAATTATGAACATTTTCTTTCTTTTTAAAGATGACCTCAGATTCATTCTCAAAGTGCAAATCTGGATATTAAAAATAAAAAAATAGGTTTAAGGGAACTGTAGCCCCATCTTCTATCCCCCGCCCTCCACAGTGGGGCCAATTCGATTCCCTCTCCCTCCCATCTGTGCCCTTCCTCCTATACTTTAAGATAGTCGTTTTTCAGCCGACCCAGCCGGGTCCCATGGCTCCTGATGGTGAGGGCCAGCAGCTCGTATTTGTCCCTAAGCCCCACAGAAATGTCCAGCGTCTCCTTCAGCAGGGACTTGGTGTGGACCAGCATCCCCAGGAAGTCCTCGTTCAGCCTGCTCTCCTGCCGACTGTCCTGTTCCTGGCCCTGCTTGAACTTGCTCTCCAGCTCAGTGAGGGACTTGTCGGAGTTGGAGTAGGCATCCCCGATCTGGTGAGACTCTCGCCGCAGGTATTTGCCGTAGCTCTCCTCCCCGTCCAGGTCGTAGGAGATGCTCTTGCTGATGCCCTCCAGGACGCGCCCAGCATCCTCCACCTGGCGGCCCAGCACAGTGAACTCCTCCCGCAGGGTGAGGCTCATCAGGCTGCTTGTCTGGCTCCCCTCCCCCTGGGAGCAGCGCCGGTGGTCACTCACCCTGAAGAGCAACTGGCACTTCTCGGGGTCATCGTTCTCCTCATAGTCCCCGTCGGGCACGAAGTAGTGGTGCAGAGTCCCATTGGACATCTCCGGGTAGAGGGGGCCGTCGAAGTAGCCCTGACACAGGTAGCAGAAGAAACTCATCCAGAGGAACTTCAGGAACACCATTCTGGATATTCGGGATGACCAGGGACCCCAGGAGAAGACTGTCCGCCCAGGCACAAGGAAGGGGGTCTCCTTGGGAGTCAGTGCCTCCCTGAGACGGCGTCTGCCTCTGTCCTGGACGGCTCGCTGCACCCTGGCCCCCGCTCCCCAGCAGGCTTCATGTGGCTGTGCAGCAGCGCAGGATGCACCTAGCTGTGCGCCCGCTCGCTGCTTGCTGGGCGGCTGCAGCTCCCGCGCGGGCTCCGTCCCCGCGCAGGATTGCAGGCGGAGAGCGGGGAACCCCTCCTCCAGGGCTCTGGCAGGACGCTGGCGCTGTTGCCCCGCTCTCGGAGTTCCCCCTTGCTCCTGGGAGATGGTGCGTGTAGCTGGAGAGAAAAGCTCTTGCCCTCTGATACTATTTCAATTCCTGGACTGGGTGGGAATGTGGAGCTTTTCCTTTTGGCTGCAGATATCCTGAGGATCTCTCTGCTCTCAAATTACAGCTGATTTCGTCACTTGGAAGCCAGGGAACAAGTTTGGAGAGAAACCTCTCACCAGGTCTCTGTTATTAAAGGTACAGGGTCTCTTTTTAAAGATTGGAAGGGGAGACTCTGCAAAATAGAACTTCGTGTTCCCTGAAGGAGGAAATGAAAAGAGAGTTAAGTAAAATTTCCACAACTAAAAGCCTAGTTTGCTATTGATGTATTGGGGGAAAGAGTGATTACCCTGAGAAATGCCATTTCACATGTCTAAATAAATATCAGTTCGGTTGGATTTGTTGAGTATGTAAATTTTTATCTTTAAAAAGTTTGTTCCTTTAAAGGCAAAATTGAAGTGCCAGAAATGACGGTTTTGTTTGGAAATGATTTTTTATTTAAAGTTAATAAAAACAATACTTTGGAAGTAATAAAAATATATAAAATTGATGAATGCATAGTTGCTAGCATGTATGAGAACAGAGGCTGAAAAATGAAATTTTGTCAGTTTTATGAGTAAAAGAACAACTGAGATCATTGTTTAATTTGATAAAACAATGCTAAGCTTCTGTGTTGAATCTTTAACTTAATACTCTCACAGCTATTGCCTCTTTCGAGATCCTTGAAAGCTTTTGAAGAATATAGGGCTGGTACTGTTATCCCCATTTTCCAGATGGAGAAATGAAAGGGCACAAGGTTAAGCAAGTTGCTTATAGTCACACAGTTAGATTGTAGTTGAGCCAGAACTCATTAAGTCACAGGGTCTTTTAATTTAATTTGGGAAATGAAACACCTTTTTTTCCTCCACCAGGTTATTTTAGCTTTTGAGTTATGAATTGATTGGCAAATGGCCATTGTGAAGGCCATTCATTTGTTTGATGAATATTTCTTGAGCATTTACTGCGTGCCAGGGTTTGGGAATACAACAGTCAATGCAAATAAAGACAAATCCTTGCCCTCCTGGAGCTTACATTCCCAGAAACAGAGGACTAAATTAATATAAATAAATCAGATACATTGTATGTTGGACAGTAGTAGGGTTGTGGAGGAAAGAAAACAAGGAAGAGGGGACAAAGCAGAGGCAGGCAGCACTCCTATTTCCATGGGCATTTTCTCCTTCTGCTTTGGGATGTAACTGAAATACTCCTATTGATTTGCCAATGATACGGACCTATTTCCCTTCCTGGGTCATAAGGGACTAGTTTCATTCAGAGCCATAGTTCACTCAGATCTGGGACTGTCACACTCATCATCACTTTCACTGACGTAAGCAACCCAGACTGCTGGATAGACAATGAGAAGTCCAGTTACGTAATTCGATCTTTTGTTAATGTGGTATCACATGCGTAGATTTTTTGAGGCATGTTGACTGCACATTTTAATTCTTATCCAGATACTTGACATCATGGAAACATAGACAAAGGACTTTTCTTAGTGTTTATGCCAAGTAGAAGACCAAGGCCTATTTTCACTCTATCCCAGCAGAAAACTACAACCTCTTCCAGTTGAGAGACTGGACTGTTGGACCTAAGAGCTACATTTCTTCATTCCTTTTTCCCTGGGACATTCACAAATGACAACAAATGGATTCAAATTGGCTGCTTGGCCAAAGAAGAGAAGAGGAATTTACTCTGATTCATTCCACTTCTTGCACAATCTCTCCCTGATTTACTAATCGATTCAATTAAGCCAATCTATATTAAGCACTTACTCCGTGCTCCCGACTTTCAAGTACAGTGTTAAGTTAGCTACAGATACAAAGATGTGCACTAAAATGTTTCAGCCTACAAAGAGCTTGCTCTCTGTTGGAAGGTCAGGCATATGGACATATAAAGTCATAATAAGAAAAGTGAAGAGTATTTCCTTTCTACCTGCAAGTAGATTATTAGATAATCTCATATAAAGATAAAAACTCCATGTCATGTATTAGAAAGGAATCATTTTTGTGCAAGTAACTAAAAGTCCACTTCAGTCTGACTAAAGACAAAGAGAAGTTTATTGACTCACAGAAAGTCTAGGATTAGATTCTCAAACAAGGTCTGATCCAGAACCTAGTTTTTCCTCCCACCATTTCTTGGTTCTAGTTCCTCAGCTTATGTTCATTCTTGGGCAGTCTCTTTCACTGGTGGTTCCAAGATGATACCAGTGTCTTCTGGAGGGCTCTATGCTTCCTTGTTCATATCTAGCAGGAATGACAGATTGGATGTCCTGGTAGCTCAAATTCAGGTCCCTCAAGTCAGCCTCAGTGGCCACAGTTGGCCTGATGTAGATCATGAATATATCTTTAAACCAGGCTAACTGTAGTCAGAGGTTTGGGATAAGCCACTTGGCTTAAAACAACAGGGGCCCAGTTCTGTAGCCAAAGGCAAGGTGCCATGCAAACTACATGGCTGGGTGATTTAGGGTCCTGTTTGGGAAGGGGACAGTATGACAGTAGATTCTGAGGAAATAACTATAAGCATTTTCCCCACCTCATGCCTTTATCTTCATTAAACACGTCTTAAAGACACTGCCATCCTTTTGTAGCAGTGTGCTTGCTAATAGGTTTAACAGCTGCATGCATGGGGGAAAAGCCCTCATTTGTAGCATTTGCTGATTTCCATGATATAAATACTTTCACAATGGCCATCGCTGAATACAAAGTTGAGAAAACATGCACAGTCCTGAACCATTTTATAGCATTTCCATCATATAGATATGTTAGATGCAAATAACTCCCAGCAAATAGGAAATAATAAAAATCTAGTAAAAGAATTGAGGTGATGAGTTTTGCATGTATTGCCTTTAACATAGTTTACTTAATTAAACGTTTAAATAGTTTATTTTTTAATAATGGTTATGTTTTAACAACTGACTTGCAAAATTCCTAAAAACCTAACTATCAGCTCCCACGAGATAGTGCAAGCCGGCGCCAGCACATCATGGCCTTTTGATCCAACACTTCATTTTGTTCAGTTTTAAAAGGTCTTTATTTCTAGGTTTTTCATATGTTCCCAGTTCCATGTTGGGCTGGTCTGCTAGGGTTAGAGCTAAGGTGGGCTTCTGAGGGTTGATCTGGAATAAATGAACCCAAAGGAAATGTCCAAACAGACATAGAAGATAGAAGAATAAGATTTGCTTATCCTTTTATCATTTTTAGTGCACTTTAAAATCTTGTTTCTTTAGACCAATAACCACCTTAGAGAGGGAAGCAGGAATTTAGGCTGGCACCATGAGCCTGAAGATCTTTAAGTCCCATTGTTGAAGGTTTTTGTGATCTCCTGTTTCTGATTATGGTAATACTAATACTTTTATAGAAAAGGGGCTTGTATATATTAAGAATAAAGAGGTTTGGGGACATTGGGTTTCACCGTGCAGCTTAGAAACCCCCAAAAAGACTCTGGGAGGTAGAAGCCTTCATTCTCAACATCCCCCCAAACTGTCAGGCTGAGTCCCTGGACCATGTCAAAGAAGACAAAAACAGAAACAGAGTTATTCTGGACCAGGGTCAGGGTTCTGAGGTGGGACAAGAGAGGAAAGGAAGAAGGGAAAGGAAGACAAGAAGGACACAGCATTTAGCACTTGGACATTTTTTATTTTTATCAACTAAGAGATTATTGAGCAGCTATTGTTTGCAGAGGGTGGGAAGGAGAAAGAAAGAGAAATAAAGAAGAGAAAAGAAAAGTAGGCAAGGAAAGAAGGTAGTAAAAAAGAAAGAATGAAAAGAAAAGAAATGAAGGGAGAGATTGAAATAAATTTTGATTATCTAGTCTGTGCTATTTGTTATGCTAAATCAGTGAAGTGATTATTGTTATTTACTACAAGAACATTGGTTAGGAGCCATAGGACAGCTAATTAACAAGAATAATCACAAACAAAAAACCAAATTTCATATCAAATATAGGCAATAAAACACACCTATGAAAACAATGGGAATGCTTACAAGGAAATAGGCATAATGTGTGAAGGGAGTCTGGTCAGTTCTCACAGTCTTTCTGTATTAGTCAGAATATGCTATGCTATGTTGTGGTAACAAACATCACAAAATGCTAACACAGAATTCATGTTCACTGCAGGTCAAGGTCACTCAGCAACTTTCTTCTATATGACAACTCTGTTGCACCATCTGCGACATGAAACCTTCATGGTTGATGCAGCAAGGGAAAAGGGCTCTGGAGAGTCTTGTGCTGCATTTAAGTGCATTGTATTGGGAGTGACAGAGACTACTTTTGCACACAGCCCATTGGCTGGTGACATTGCCCCGTTTTGGTGCAAAGGGAGGGAGAGTCTCATCCTTTCTTGTGCCCAGGAGAGGAAAACCAGATGTGGATGAGTCCTGAATATCTTTATCATGCTTTCCAACAGGAAAAATACTTGCTAGAAATTCTAGAAATGCCAAACAGGAAATGAGTATGTAAGTTGTGAAATGTAGTCTATAATAACACAAATATTTCCTATCTTCAGCCAGGATAGAAAATGCAAGCAAAGAGAAAGACCATAAGCACTTACTTTACTGTCCCTCCCAGATTCAATGAGTCTGATTCTTTCCACCCATTTTACCCATGAACACAGAACACACTGAATCATAGAAGAGAGGAGCTGGGGAGAGTCAGAGAAGGAGAAATAAGGATTAGAGTCTGCAAAAAGGGAAGGAGGTTGAGGGGATTGGGTGTCCAGGAAACTAGAGGCAGAAAGCATCCTATGAGGTGAGAGGACCCCGATCAGCTTGGCTGAAGGG